CTCCTCCTCCTCCTCCTCCTCCTCCTCCTCCTCCTCCTCCTCCTCCTCCTCCTTCCTCTCCTTACTGGTCCCCCATCCCCCCTGCTGGAGGAACAGAGAGCCCAGTCCGCCCCTCGCCACAGGAGGAGGAGGGGCAGGAGGGGGAGGAGTAGAAGCAGCAGGAGCAGGAGCAGGAGGACGAGGAAGAAGGAGGGAGGAGGAAGGAGCAGGAGAGAGGAAGGAGGAGGGAGGAAGCAGGAAGGAGGACGCAGGGAGGAAGGAGGAAGGAGGATGGAGGAAGGAGGAGGAGGAGGAGGAGGAGCAGCAGGAGGTCGATGACAGCCCCCCGAAACTGAAGGAGGCCCAAACACGTTGAACCGTCCTGCGCAACTCCTCGACCCACGATCCCTGACGTGGAGGATGAGGATCGAGGAAGAGAAAACAGCACGAACCTCAACTTTCCACGGTCCGCGCGGATGTTCCTCAGATCTCCGCTGGAACCCCCTCCCCGGCGCGCGGAGCGCGCGACGGGGCGGCGGCCTCGGGTGCCGCACGAGGGGCCAGGCGCAGATCCAAGAAATCCGCTCGGACCGTCGAAAGTCTACGTTTGGATCGGCTGTTCCACTTCGAGATGGGGACCCAGACATCGGGCGTCTCAAAAAAATCGAGACGGAGGTGTTTCATCGTTTTAGGCCTCTCGGGGCCCTCGCCGGGCCTCGGGACCGTCAAAAAACGCCTCGGGCCGAAAAACAGGCCCTGGGGAAGTGGTCGGGAGGTCGGGGGCCCATGTCTGGATGTCTGGGGAGGAGGAGGAAAACAGAAGGAGAACCCTAATGTGGAGGAGGAGGTTGACGACGACGATAGAAACCCACCCAGGACCGGCGGCCTCCCAGAGTCCCTGGCGCGTTCCTCCAGGTGCATGTTGCAGCCCCGGAAGTCCCGGTGGATGAGGCCTCCCCGGGCCCTCATCGAGGTCATCGTCGTCGTCGTCGCCGCCGCCGTCGTCGTCGCCGTCGTCGCGGCCGTGGCCCCCTCGAAGGCCCAGAGCTTCGGCGTCGTCGGCAGCGTCGCTGGCGCCGTCGCCGCCGTCGCGACGGATTTGGGCCCCTCGAGGTCGCGGAGCTTCGGCGTCGTCGTCGGCGTCGCTGGCGCCGTCGCCGCCGTCGACGCCGCCGTCGTCATCGTCGAGCCCGAATCCCCCCTAGTTCGCCACACGGTTTGTGGTCACGCATCGTGAGGCGAGCCAGTGGGGAACAGGGAGAAGGAACAAAGGGAAGACGCCCAGCCACGGACAAGGAGAAGGAGAAGGAGAAGGAGAAGAGGAAGAAAGAGGAGAAGAGGGAGGAGGAGGAGGAGGAGGAGGAGGAGGAGGAGGAGGAGGGAGGAGAGGAGGAGAGGGAGGAGGAGGAGGAGGAGGAGGAGAGAGAGGAGGAGGGCAGAGGAGAAGAAGGGCCACATGCGGGATCCATCCCCCGCACTCGCCGCGCGCCCGCGCGCGCCCCGCGCGCCCGGCGGGCCGGCCTCGGCCGCCCCGCCGCGGCCGCGGTCCGGGGGGCGATCCGCCGGGGCGCGAGGGCGGTCCGCCGTGGCTGCGGCATCGACCACCGGCTGTTGGGCCACAGGGCCACGAGACTTGCGCAGTGCTGTGGAGGCGCACAGGCGAGGATGCCGAGGCCATACACGCACGGAGCGCCATGGGCGCGAACGGGCGCGGCCCAGAAACGAGTGAGGCACGACGTCCTGCATGGGATGCAGCCTCGACCCGACGACATCATGATCGTTGCTACGGCCGCCCTCGCGAGAGCGGCTAAGCACAGGCTGCGTAACAGGTAGCCCCAGTGCGAGAAGGAGCTGCGTAACAGGCAGCACAAGTACGAGAACGAGCTGCGTAACATGCAGCCCAAGGACGAGTACCACCATTACTACGACACCAAGACCGCCACCAGGAACGACACGACCGAGCAGCCCGAAAGGGTTACGGAAAACGTCGTCGTGGAGGTAAGCGTGGACATCGGCCGAGCCGCTTACGACGAGTACGACTACGGCCGCGTCGCCTACGACGAGCGCACGACTAAGACAGGTTGTTCGATTGCGACCTGTACTCGTACGACCCCCCGGACTACTCCAGCTTCAGGACTACGACGGCACGCAGGGCTACGACAGCCGCCAGGACTACGGGGACACCCAGAACGTGGAACACTACGCCTCGGCAGCCGACGACCCCGACTCGGACCTCGGGGACTACGAAGAGAGCGCGCCCTCTGAGCTGCCACAGCCACCAGCAGCGCTGCCGGGGCCACCAGACGACCATCGGGGACCACAAGCCGAAGCACGAGGACCACACGCACAGCTACGAGAGCCACCAGACGAGCTTCAAGACCCACCTGCCGATCTACGAGCGCCTCCAGCAGAGCCAGGAGGACCACCTGGAGAGCCACGAGGGCCACAACCTCAGCTCCGTGGGCAAAGAGCAGGGCTGCTGCAGCCACCAGCGGAGCTACCAGGACCACCGGCGGCCCTTCGAGGACCACAACCTGAGCTACGAGGTGCACACCTACGAAGGCCACCAGAAGAGAGTCAAGACTCAACGCCCACCTGCTGAGACACGAGAGCCACCACCAGAGCCACCAAAGCCACAACCTGAGCCACGACGACCGCGAGGCGAGCTGAGCGACGAAAGCCAGGAGCAGGTCCACCTGCGGAGCCACGAGGGCCACAAGCAAGGCTGCGCGGACCACCTGCTGAGCTACAAGAGCCACCAGAGGGGCTACCAGAGCCACCAGCTGAGCTACGAGGGCCACAGGCGGAACTACGAGGGCCACTACCTGGGCCACTCGGGCCACAAGCAAAACTACGAGAGCCTCCCGCAGAACTACCATGGCGACAAGCTGAACTGGAAGGGCCGCCGACATAGCCCTCCATAGCTGCCTCGAGAAGCTAGCTGAACCACCAGGGCCACCAGCAGAACTGCGAGGACCACGAGCCGAGCTGCACGGGCACCGAGCGGCGCTTCTCGGACCACCGGCCGAGCCACCTGGGCACGCCGAGCTGCGAGAACCACGCGCTGCTCCTCGGGGACGGCCGG